TCCACACACACACACACACACAGATCCACACACAAACAAACACACACACACAAACAAACACACACACACACACACACACACAATCCACCCACCCGTGGCATTATGCAGAGAGTCAATCATAAAGGCCGGGTCATCTATAACAGCCTGGTACATCTGAGGTAGGTCGTCCATCTCCCTAGGAGACATGCCCGGCCTAAAGAAGTCGTGGTCCTCAGCCACTACCTGTAGCTGGCCTAGCAGTCGGCCCAGTTGGCTGGAAAAGGGGGGGGGGTTAAAAGGTGGGAGACAGTGAGTGCAAAAGGGTTAGTTTTAGTTTCAGTAAGAGTTTTACGGCACTTGCAACACAATAAGGTCATATAAGTGCCGAGGATTAGAGGTGTTACAAGAAAGTAACAAACACAAAAAAAGAAGGAGGAGAGATAAGGATGATAGATGTTTGATAGGAAAGAAGAAGCAAAGCACACCAGAGCACCCGCCAACCAATCACGGGGGTAGAGAGTGAGTGCAAAAGGGTTGAGGGAGGGGGAATGTATGTACACACAACATACAGGAGGGGAGACAGGAGGGGAGAGGGGAGAGGGGTGAGCAAGGGGAGATATTGTATGAATGTTGTTGTTTTTTACAGCACATTTAGGTCCTATAAATGCCAAAAAAGAGAGATTTTACTAACAAAGATTTTACTAAAAAAGTAACATATAAAGAAAAGGAAAAGGAGAGATAAGGATGCTACGAATTTTACAGCATTTGCAACACAATTAAGTCCTACAGCTGCTAAAAATTAGAAGTTTTACTAAAGAATAATATATAAATAAAAGAAGGAGGAGCGATAAGGATGACAGATGTTTGATAGGAAAGAAGGAGCAAACCGCATCAGAGCACCTTATATTGTTATTATACTTGACTCTCTCCCACTCTCTGTCTCTCCCCCCCTCTCTCTCCCTTTCACTCTCTCTCCTTACTTTTCCTTGGAGAAGTTGAGGAATCCATGTTGATCCAGCTCTCCCTCTCCCTCACAGAAGATCTGTATAAGTGACAGGAGTCCCGTGGATGGAAGTGCGCGTGCATGGTACTGGGCTGTGGGAGGAAGACAGAAACATTGAAGTAAATCTTTCATCTGTGGGCATGCGTGTGTACTCACTCACTCTCTCTCTCTCTCTCTCTCTCTC